ACACTCAGCTGCCTTGGAAAAATGAAATGTGGACAAAAAACAAGAAGAGTAGCTTAGCGTGTTTGCGATCGTCCGTCCGTTGGATCTGTCCCCAAAAATAAATGAGAGATAAATTGCGGGGATTCTTTTGAAACCTTGTCGCATGGAAGAACCAGGTGGCGCTTCTTGGTGGGAAGCCCTGCGAGGCCTTGCAGCTGGCGCTTGCCGGGCTTCCTGCCTGCGCACGGAAGCCGAGGCGGGCAATGGTTGAAGGAGGAGAGAGACAGGGAGAGGGAGACTTTGTCATGCGCATTGAAACGGTGGGTGCAGAGGGTAGACCGGGACCAGAAGCAAGGGAATTGGGCTAGGAAAACTTAGGACGAAGGAGAGAGGGAGGGCCGAGCGAGCTTTGATTGAGTCTGATGCTCATAATACGTGCAGGGTTCAGACGAAGGAAGTTGAGATAAATATCTGGAACCATGCGTCTTGTCGACAAGACAGTAAATGCAGGGAGTAGAGAAAGGAACATGAAGAGACAAAAAAAAGAAACAAACTCACCGGCTCTGTTCCGTCAAGCGCGTCCACTGAATGCGCAAATGGTCCGGTTCACCAGCCTGCGACGCCTGGACCGCGAGAATGATTCCGGAAAGGCAAAAGGAGAAGAGGAACATCATACGCTGGAACAGCGTGACGTGGGAGTTGAACTCGAGCAGGGTCTGGAGAAGGGCGAACATGATGCAGGTTTGATTCTTTGGCGTGGCGGTGAGACCTGACGTGTTGCTGCAGAAATGCAGGGAAAGAAACAGAGTAGGGGAGGTGGGAAGAAAAAAGAGGTGAGGAGGTGCAGTAGTGTGCTGTTGGAGGCGGATACACGCAGCAGCGGTTGTTGCGGTGTGACGGACGAACGGCGCGACGACTGACGAGGGAATGTGCAATTGTTGGCGAAAAGGTGCCAAAAGGTGTTGCTGCGAGTGCCACTTCCAGGGCCACGAGGACGCAAGAATGGCGACGAGATGGGGGGCTGGGACGATGATCAGGTGGCCGGGGGTCTGGGGAGGGGAGGGGGCAAAGCCGCAAGCGACAGTTTGGCCCTGGTTTGATGCAGTGATGGTGTGGCACTGTGACTCGACTGTTGTAATTGTGTTTTGGTCGGGTTAATTGCGATTTATGCGTAGTGCTGCGAATAGATGCCGTGTAATTTACTGTCTGTAAGAGAATGTCTCGGTGCCACGAGGGCGAGGGAGTGCAAGGGACGAGCGGCTGTTTGTTAATGGGATAATCAAACAAGGTTGCGGCCGGGCGTGAGATTGAGCGGGTATATAATAAGGTAAAGAAAGACAAGACGACACAGAACAAGTGGCCACAATAGGTACTTATTGTGGCAAGGCTCATCAACCAAGAGACGAGAGGAGGGGCACGATGGGTGGGTAAAAGCGTCAAAATTAAAAACAAATTTAAACGTGACCCCACACCATGTCTTATCGCGCTCCACGTGTCCTTATCGTCGGCCCCAAATTCGGTGGCGCCGCTGCCCTTGGCCGGCGGGCTGGCGGGCCTGGCGAGCCGTCCACTGTCCGCAACCCCTGTGCTGTGCCGCTGGCCGTATGTTCTCGTCTTTCAACCACTGCACCGGTCCAGGCTCAATCCACCAAGCAGAATGTTCCACTTTGTTCTTCTTCTTCCAGACTAGTATGCTAGACTATGGTTATGCCTGACTTCAAAAAAGGGCTTCACGTCTCGGAGAAACTGGTCCACCGGTACCCCTTTCTCAAAAATAATCCGGTAATAACACTGTGAAGTTGGGAATGGCCTTGCGCTAGACTCTGTGGTGTTTCTTCATACGTGTTATGTGGAGCTGAGAGCTGTGATCGATGTAGACGGCCTTCGGGGCGGAAAGCTTGGCAAAAGCGGCCGGGTCGTTGGGCTTAGTAGACGGAGAGATGGGTCGAGGTTTCATGGCATACTGGGCGAGGCGGCAGTGTATAGTAGCTATTACAATTACTAGGCTCTTGATAGTGGATGCAAAATACTCTCCTGACCTTGGTTGAATTTTAGACGGCCTGCGACTCTATCTTGAGTCTTGTACTTCCTTGCCTGCCGTTTCATCTCCCAACAGACAGGAAAGTTTCAAACGGCCTTCGACATTACACAATTCTTAGGTTTGGTATCGGTAATCGATGCCCTGGAATGCCGCCTGTCGAGTCTCGCTTGCCGCTTTGCGGGGTAGCCTCCGTGCCTTCCGATATGGGGCCGTCGAGCCGCCGTTTCTTTTTTTTTTTCTGGCTTCCGTTGGACCCATTCCCGAGCCGATGGGTGGGTCCCAATCGGCCTTGATATTTTGGGGAAGGCAGTGTTGATCGTTGTCTCTCATCCAACACAGCCCCCAAACTCCAACCAATCCCGTCGTAACATGCCAAGGTACAAACAGACTCCGACACACATCCTGCCGACGAGTGGCAAGCTCAACCGCAGATTGCAGTCAGCAACACCTGGGGTCCAGATGCGAAGACCACAATGATCAACCACATCAGGCTGGGTGCATCCCGACATGCATCAACAAAACGCCTTCTACTCTGGCAAGGTTTCTTGAGTCAGAGTGCTCAATCGAATACAACCAAAGCATTCGATATATCCCCGCGGATACCGACCCGATGGTGGAGGAACTCGTCGCTTCGCAATCCATCCTTCACGGTCCGCCCAGCTCGTTGAGATCCCCATTTTCGCGCTCCTGCTGAGCCTCAGACCTGCAGCGGCGCTCGAATTCCCAGCCATTATGCATTCCCTCAGCTTGGCAGACAAATATTTCGAGACTAATCCATCGCCGGACCAATGGGCCGACAGCTTGGCACTGCAGCCTCGGAGGGTGGGCCATCAGGCTCGTACAAAATGTCAGCAAGGAGCCTACCCATTCTAGCCAAAACCGATGCCCGCGGCAAATGTCAACTTTCTCTGTCCCACGCTCCTCAGCCTTTCTCTGCGGTGCATCCCAGGGCGGGGTCGACAACCACGCATCGCGAGAAACATGGAGTCCTCTAACGAGATGGGGTGGGGAGAACAGAGGACAAGCCGGCCAATGCATGCGATTCCTCGAAAACCTGTCAAGTCGACGAACTTCAGATACGATGTCATCAATAACTCGGATGAACCCAGAGGTGCTGTCTCAATCGACGATATCTGGAGGCCACGTGAAGAAGGGAATGCCGGGTCCGACTTTGACAGCGGCGTAAACGCTACCAAAACCTCGTCAGAATCACAGACAAGCCCCCACGACGAAGGTGAACATGTCCGTGATAGCTTGCTGAAGAGCACGACGACCGTTGCCGCTGGTGATGAGAGCGACAAAAAGGATTCCGTGGATCGGACGGCTACATGGCGTCCAACTTGGCTGCGTCCGCTTGTGCTAGTTTGGTTCGCGAGCCTCTTCCTCTTCCTCTCGATGGCTCTAGCTGTGATGCTGTGGTACTCACAAACAAACCGTGGGCTTTTCGAAACTCGTCAGAGCATTCTGCACACCTATTTGTGGCGATTTGGACCGACCGCACGTAAGTAGGGTGTTGTATTCTTGGCTCCCATTTCAGAGCATCGCGATCTGTTTGAGTTTCTAACGGCTTCACTACGTAGTTCTTACAATCTTGGCAATTTTCTGGGCCAGAGTCGAGGTGCAAGCCATGATGTACATGCCGTGGATCGCTCTACGCTCGAACCCCAATCTCAGAGAAAGTGATGTAGTCCTCGATTACACGTCAATGTTTTCACCCCTCGTTCTTACCCGCTCGTTCCGTCACAAGCATTATTTTGTTCTTCTAGTAGCTTTGGTTTCCGTTATTCTCAAGGCTCAGATCGTCCTTGCTCCTAGTTTATACAGCCTCGCAACTATCAAAGTCGCGCAGACTGTCGACATCCTCTTTCAGGACTCTTTTGAACTGGAGTTGACACCCGAATCCGAGTACGGAGCCGACACGAGCGCCTACTACATGGCCCGCGCACAACACGACTTCGACATGGTTTATCCCTACGGAGTCGCGGAAGATGTTGCCTACCAAACCTTCACTGTCGGGAGTCATCCTGGTCGAGGAACTGTCAACAACCCAGTTACGGCCACTGTAGATGGATTTTTCGCAGAAATCCAATGCGTCAAACTAGTCCACTACTCAATCCTTGAGCAGAGAAATAGCACTTCACAGCCGAGTTTAACCATCGTAGTCACTGTCGAGCTTCGATTCGATGGGTGCGAACAACCATTCATCATCACAAGCCCGAGTATTTCACGGCCCGATAGAGGGAAGAACACTACTTTCTGGCTTCTACAGCCAGACTCGAAAGTCAGCCAGGCCTGTTCGGGGTTGCCGCAACGAGTGCCGTCTTTCTTATACTTCACTGCCATGTTCGAACCGCAGGAGAAGAACTTGACTCTGGTTGAGTTTCGCACAGCGGCCGCTGTGATTTGCGAGCCGCATGCTTGGGTGTCAAAGGTTCAGGTTACGGACGATGGAGCAAAACCAACCGTGACAATACTTTCCGACGAACGGCGGACTTTGGTTACAGCAAACTTTTGGACAATGCTTAATAGTTCGATCCCGTCAAGCCTTGGTCGCTGGAATTCTGGTGGAGCACAATGGCTCGATGGCCCAGTAAGGGCTGACCTTCTGTTCAGGAGCCAGAGCCTCGATGTCGGCCTTCCAAACGTTTTCACCAACGAAATATTGCAAGAGTCGGTCCAAAATCTAACACGACGTCTTGCACCCTTCATCGGAAACTACCGCCTTCGACGAAATGACGCTGTCCAAGGAAGTGGCACATCGCTGCAAAGTGTCGGCCGGCTTACCATTAACCCCAAAATCTGCCTATCAATGATTGCGCTTTTCATTGTCAACACCGGTATCGCTGTGTTCGTGCTCTGGCATTATCACCAGCACACCTCGGTTTGGCATCGGGATCCAGCAACGCACCTCGGGAATTTAATATTTCTCCGCGATCACCCAGATGTTGCAAGCCGAACTACGGAAATCAAGGACGCGTCTGAAACTTGGAAGCACCATACTTTCACACCTTTAGTATTGAAGATGACATCACGCGGGTCGTTCTGCCTCTTCACCATACTGCTGGCAAGCAGTCTTATACTCACCCTCCGAGTCTCCGAGACATCAGATGGACTCGCAACCATTGACAATGAAGGTTATTTACACCTAATGTGGACTTCCTTCCCAGCCATCATAGCGCTTGGAGTGTCCCTCTACATCAGCTCTTGCGATTGGGCATACCGAGATCTCGCGACTCTCTACCGCCTCTCCAGGGCCACATGTAATTCTCATGAGCTCGATCGCTCTCTGTTGGACATGCTGGGTCTACGCGCGCTGTACTACTCTTTTCGATATCGCCTCTGGTCTGTCACGTTCTCTCAAAGTCTCGCCTTCGTGTGCGGACTACTCACCTCCCTTGTCTCCATCATCTTCACGGTCGAGGTTATACCGGGGTCGACGTCAACCCACTTCCAACAAAAGACCTGGTTTCAACCGCGAGTGAACGGCAGTTATGACGAAGCCTACGGTATTAAGCAGACAATGATCAGTAGTCTCTGGATCCGACGGGAAGAAGCCAACTTGACGTACCCGGACAACACATTTGACGATCTTGCGTTTCATGCTGTCGAGAGCATTGATGACCTTGACCCGTCAAAAAACCTTTCAGTTACAATCACAACACCAGCGGCAAAGGTTGAGCCTCAGTGCATCGAAATGACCGAGGACAAGTATACAATCACCTATAGAAACTACACTGAAGATGGCAAAACATGGTACTACGCCAACATCAACGAGAAGTTCATGTGCCCTGGCGGTGTCAAATATGTGAATTTTACAAAGGAATTCCCCATTGGCCAGGCCAATCTGTGGAACCGATCGTACATCGCCGGAAAAATGGACACGACAACGGATCCGAAAACCATCGACTTTCCCTGTAAGCTCAATAACACGTCACCGACGAATTTTACGACGACGACACAGAAGACCTACGCTTGGGGAGCATTCGAGGTGGAAAAGGGAACGCTTTCCTTTTTTACTGTTTGGAGGTGCAACTATTCTTGGTATGAGATAGATACGGAAGTCAACCTCGTCTTCGCCGACGGCCGTCTTGTCATCGACATGGAGAAGCCCCCACAACCGGACATGTCGTCCATGAGGCTATTGGACCCCCCACTTGATTTGCCCCCATATGAGGCCACGTCCACCCGCTTCGGTAACGGGGAGCTCTACCCAGAAATATCACTCCCCTCAGGGCCGGGACTCGGGGTGCAGGAGTACTTCACACCACTGGTCAAACCGTATGGAACACTCGATCTCGCAGCATTCGGGGATCGGGGGCAGCGGACAGACGTACTCCGACACATTCATCACAACTACGCCTTTAGCGCAGCACAGCTCGCCAACACCGAGAACCGCAGGACCATCAGTGCTGATAGCGGTCCCATGCCGCCGCCGGTTTTGGAAGCAACGCTGTACGACAACGGTCGTCGTCGATTAGTCCAGAATCCGAACGTCACTTACGCCGTGGTAGGTATCTTGGGGGCCGTGATTCTCTTCAACATCTGGGCGCTGGCCTCAGCCTTCATTCAGCGCCGCGGCGGGGATGGCCGGCTACTGGACATGGATGTGAGGGGTCTGGCGCCTGATGGGATCCACAGCATCGCCTCGGTGGTAGGCTTGCTGCGGGAATCGAACGCGGCGGCACATCTGCCACCCAGCCCCGAAATGCTGTCCTCAGATGAGTTACACGGGCAGATGGCCGGCTTGAGCTTTCGGCTGGGATGGTTCCGGAGGGAGCGGGATCAGACGAGGCACTTCACGATAGGTGTGATGGGCGATGGTGACTTTAATTTTATGGGAGTGAGAAGAAGTGTAAAGAAAACGTTGGAGGCGACTTCCAGTCAGGAAAGCGTCATGACTTGATGATGAGGATACGTCCGTAATGACAAGAGAGAGGAATAAATGAAGGAAAGCTCGTCGGAAGTGTATTCCGTTTTTCATACAAAGTATCCCCGAGTAGAACAAGGCTAGTCTTCAAAAATGGAATAGGGGATACTCGCAGACACGGCAAAATTAGGCATATCAACAATCTCTGCAATCTTCAAATCGGCAGCAATACTGCACAGCATGTACGCCTCCTCCCTCTCAAGCCCCCTCGTCGCGACAAGGCGCGCAATCAGCCCCCTGAGCGCCTTCCTACTCGCCTCCAACAAGTCGGAATCGATCCCGAGCACGGCATACACGGCCACGGGCGGATCACCACCCTGCGTCTGATGCTGATGCTGAGCATGCTGCGCCGCCGACCCGCGCGTATCGTAGTGCGGGCTCGTGACATAGGGCATATCTTTGCGGACGGTAAACCGGAGGGTGGCCTTCATGGGGGTTTCTATCGCGGTGCCGCATACCTCGCCGTCGCCCTGGGCCGCGTGCCCGTCTCCGCAGGAGAAGTTTGCGCCGGGGACGCGGACGGGGAGGTAGAGTCTTGTTCCGGCGGTGATGTGTTTGCAGTCAATGTTGCCTCCCGTGTCGAGGGGCGGGATGGTGGACAGGGGGCCTGGGAGGGATGGTGCGACGCCCGCTACGCCTAGGAAGGGACGGAGGGGGATTTTGATGCCGGGTTGGAAGAGGATGTGGTTGCTGCTGGTGATGGTGGTGGTGGTTGTGGTGGGCGAAGACTGGTCCCAAGTGAAGTGCTTTATGACGTGGTTAGGGAACTCGTCTGCCAAGAGGCCGAAGCCGGGGAATATGGCGGTGAAGCCCCAGCCGGAGGAAGGTTGGAGGTGGAGGAATTCTATCTCGAGGACGTCGCCTGGTTCTGCGCCTTCAATGGCGACGGGGCCAAAGATGGGGTCGAAGGTGGCGAGGTCTAGTTTTGCGAGGTCGGAGGGTGTGGTGGAGGGGTTCACTTGGCCGCCGGAGGAGTCTTTGAGGTCAAAGGTTACGGTGGCGCCGGGGGGCACTGTGATGAGGGGTGGAGTGTCGCGGGACCAGTGGAGGCGGGGGTGGGCGGACGTGATGTGGAAGTTTGAAGGGGCCATTGGGGTGGTTATTGATGTTGCTGAGAGGGAGATGAGATGAGAGCACAAGTGCTGAGAGGCTTATTGCTGTAGACTATTTGGGGTGGGTGATAGAAATGATTTGATCCTTTTGGCTATGATACGCGACGCTTTGAAGTTTGTGATCGGGGAGTTGAGGAGACTTGGGTTCCCCCGGAGGAACGAACGGAGGTTGAAGTTGGAGTGGAGTCGTTTATCGGCCTTCGGATGCGGGGTTTGAGGGATTCGTGACGTACCTTATCCCGGCATGGCGGTGCGGGCCAGATACCACGTTCTTGCCGGCCTTTCGGTAAACGACTAACGCAGATTGACGTTTTTGACAAGGAGGGGCCAAGTTTGCAAGGCGCTTGTGGCTTGACTTTATTTCCCTGTCACCCTTAAAGAAAATGCAGGTACGCTGTTTGAGGTATTCTTTAGCACCGATGGGTACAGCTGCGTGCTTCCAATTGCGGGACTTTCTCCGCGACCTTGCTCTTGTATTTGAGGTAGCCTTTTTTTAAACTGGTGCGTTGTTGATTCAACTCATCAAGAGAACAAAGTTCCATCTCCCTCGGCTGTGTTTCGGAACCAAAGACTTGACGGTAGATCCCAAGAGCATCATGAACTACAGAATCTCAACTGGTCCAAATACGTTCCAGGAATCCCGACTCCCAACCATCCCCTCGACACTCAAGGCCTTGGCCCGTTCCGCAAGCAAGCCGCCGCCCAAGATCCCAGCAACTTGACGTGACAACGTCGACTTGCGACCCAAATACCACAACGCCTTGACACAATCCTCGCACCGATCCAACGTCTCCAACATCATCTCGTCCCCTGACCCCAAACCCCCCGCCTCCTCAAGCAGCAACGTCCCCGCCATCGCAAAAGACCGTATCAAAACCATGGTCCACGGCTCCGTAAGCAAAGCCCCTTCCTTGACCGCCGGATGAAATTCCAACAGCACGCCCAGCCCACCATCATCGTGTTGCGGCGTAGCCGCCCGCGCGAGATCAGACGCCTCCCGCACGCTCGCCCGCCTCAGACCCCCAACCAACCCCGTCTGGCCGCGCTCCGCGGCACGGGACGCGCTGCTGAGCCCCTGCTCGTCCACGAGCGCGATGCAGTCCGCCATCATCATCGCAGCGAGGAGCCAATGCCCGAGAAGGCAAATGTACCAGCTCTGCACCTTGGAGGGCAGCGCGTCGTGGTGCTCGATGCAGTCCCGGAACAGCGGGCCGTACGTCATGTTCCAGTGGCGGTAGACGGCCAGACCGTCCTGGATGGCCTCCTCGATGGCCTTTGGAGTGGCGGACCCGCGCGACGAGAGGCTTTGGATGCGTGTGATTTTGCGAAAGAGGAGGACTTTGACGGGGGCCGCGTCCCGAAGCTCGCGTTCGAATATCTCGTCGGGGCAGGGCCAGCGCAGGGGGGCTAGTTTCTGGTGTCGCTTGATGATGAAATAATCGTTCCAGCCTTCTTCTGGTGCTGCCGCCACCGCGGGAACGTCGTCTTCGTCTTTGGCTGTTGTTGCGTCTTGCTTCTTTGACTCGCGGCTGTCTTCGTCCGAGACGACGGGCGGCCTGTCGGAGATGGCGGACGAGAGCGTGTCAAACATGATGGCGAGCCAAAAGATCATTTTCATCGTCGCCTTGTCCTCCGCGTGCGCGTCCTCCCCGTAACCCGCCCAGCTCGGTTCGTCCCTCGCGCCCGCGCCCGCGCCCACGCCCGCGCCGCGTGCCCTTGCTCTTTTCCGCCTCTCGAAATTTTCCGACCGGCGTTTGAGGACGTGGAGGCGCCGGGCGCCGCGCTCGACGTAGATTGAGTAGCCTTCCTCGTCCAACGCCGTCTGCACCTTTTCTTTCGTACACGTCTCCCAGTCGTGACCGTTGCCGCCGTATCCCATTTGATTCTGACCGACTTTGTTGTAGTCCCATCCCATATCTTCCGGGTCCTTGTTCTTTTGCGTCAAGCCAAAGAGGAGCTCCGCCATAGCCACCTTGAACGAGTCCACCCCGGCGCAGTCGTCCAGACACCGCTGCGCCTGGTTCCAAAAGGATATCTGGAGCGCCGTGTCGAATTCCTCCTGTTCGAGCAGCCCGCCGGGTCCCGTCATGGACGACGCCCCAAAGGGGTCCGGCTTCTGGTACCGTGCTTTGCTCCGATGGCTGCCCTGGGCCCACTGCGCTGTGAAGGCCATGATGGCGAGGTGCAGCGCTTTCGTGGCCCTCCGGTCTTCGGATACGTTGAGCGGCTTCAACCCCAGCGAGACGAGAGACTGATCCAGCTTGAAGACCCGTCGGTATATCCTGTTGGGCAGGTTGAGCTGAATCTGCGTTGCGTCATGGCATTGCGTGTCGCTGAGACTCGAGCGCTCCAGCTGTGAGGGGGACATCAGATACGGGCAATTCTGCTCCACCAGCCAGCACGAAAGCGCGCCCTCCATGACGTCGTGATACAGCTTCATGAGATTATCCGTCATGAGCCCCTGGTTCGTCCGCGCAATCATGGTCTGCGTGGCCGAGTACTCTGAGACGCCGCCGCCGCCGCCGGACGGTGCGGAGTTCATGGAGCCTTGCTGCCACGTCCTCTTGCGAGCGTTTGGGTGGTGTCCCGTGGTGGCCTCGGTGGTGGGGTCCGGGCTCAGGCTGATGGTCGAGGCGCCGTGCATGGAAACGAGGTCGGCGGCGTCGTCAAAGCCGGGTAACTCATCCGATAAGCAGCTGGGCGCCGACAGAGACGAGGGGCCCGGGAAGAGGAGCAACGAGTCGTCGGTGGGGTCGAATGTGAGTTGCTCGTCGGCGGGGGATAGCGTGAATAAGTCGGGGGGCAGTCCAAAGTCGTTTGCGGCAAAGGTGTGCGCGCTTGGCATCTCGTTGCTGAGGGATCCGACATGATCCGGAATCAGCGACTGGAGCTCCGCGAGCTGGGCGTCACTCAGACCTTGAGACGCGGGCGAAACCGATGAGTTGTTGTTGCTGTTGTTGTTGTTGCTCTTGTGAGTTGACTTGGCCCTCTTCCGGCTCGGTAGGGCGCCGGTGCCGGCGCTCTTCTCAGTAGACTGCCGTTGGACCCGGAGCTGGGCCTGCTGTGACCGGGCCCAATTGAATGTGCACATTTTCCGCGTCTTTGAACAGTTTGAGCACGGCCCGTTCAAGCTCTGCCAATCTGCCCTGACGAGTTAGTCCTGGTGGAAGAGGGTGTGGTTGCTTTGCTCTCCATCTCTCTCTCTCTCTCTCTGGCGCGCGCGGGAAACAGCTCAGAACCTACCAACCTCCCATTGAAGGTCCGCATCCAGACACAACTGAATGTCCTTGAGGGCGCCGGCGTCGCAGGCCCTCTTGCCCTTGCGACATTGGTCGCAGCTGCTGTTCTGCCGCCTCATCGCGTTCGTTTGGTAGGGGTATTGCTCAACTGTCAAGGTACATGTGAGACTGAGATTCCCAAATGTGGAGGAGACAAATGGAAGCGGAGATTAGTAGAGACAGTGGGAAAGAAGGGGCTGTAGTTTCTACCCCCAACAAAGAAATCCCCGCTAGTGTCCCAACTCGTGACCAGCCCAAATTCCCACCCCCCCGGCCTTCCGAAACGACGTTGTCACGGGGGAGGTCCTTGTCAAACCCCGCGTTTCCTAGCGCGTTTGCGTCAGTAAAAGAAAGCGGGGTGCATACGGGTTCGTTGCCAGTTGGTTTCCCCCGCAGATCCTCTTCTTTCTGCTGCGGCGAGATTTATTCAGTCTTGATGGTGGTAGTGGTAATCGTGGTGGTGTTGGTGGTGGCCCATCCGGAGAACTGGGGGGTGGGGGAGTAGGGGTTCCCCAACGTCCGGAAGCGAGCTGTCAACCCCAGATTGATTGTGTTGAACCTTACGAGGTACAGCTCAAAGGATCCAATGGCTTGGTTAGACGTCTTGAGCCGGGTAGCTCACATGTCGGTAGCTGCATCCTTCAACTGTTTCTAATGGAAAATCAGCCCACTTTGAGGTCACCTTGCAGCACAAACCAATGGCAACATGAATCCCCATGCACTGAGCTTTTGGCAAGGGAATTGGTTGAAGTATTCTTCAGATATCACTAGCTTCGGTCTGAAAGAGAACCAATAGGATGCATCCGTACATGGAAACATATTTCCGAAATTCCGACTAGGAGCAATTTCATCACTATTAGGAGCTGACAACTGTCGACAGCGGCATCAGAGGTAACTCTCGTCGTTTGCGCTAAGCACCCAACCCCTTATACACAGCAGCCTCAACCTGTGCCCACAACCCCAAGACCGAAGCATCGCCGAAAGGCAAGATCTGAGAGCAGATGATCCCGGCGACGCCCTTCTCCCTGTCGCACCACCAAAACAGGTTCGGCAGCCCCGCCCACCACGCCGTCCCGCTCGATCGACCCGTAGGTCCGCCCGTGAGCATGAACGTCAAGCCCCAGCCTTGTGGCGTGTTGCCGGGGACCGGGTAGAGCTCGGGGAGTGCGTTTGTCAGTTCGGGTTTTGCGTCTTGAACGCCCTGCCTGGCAAAGTCTGGGGACTTGGGGACTTGGTTGGTGAACATTTCGTCTACTGTTTCCTTTTTCAGAATCTGCGCTTTTGTGATGGGACATACTCCGTCGTTCAGAAACACTGCCAAAATGCCTAAGATGCTCCAGGTTAGTTTTCTGCTAGGCATGGCCTTCACAAAAACGACGACGTACGCGTGTACTCTTGGGGTTTTGCGAAGATGCCGGCGCCACCACTGTTGAAGCAACCGCGGATCTCTTCTTCTGACTGCACGATCAACGGACGATGGAGAAGATGATCTCTGGGGACCACTTTGCCGTCAGGCCTCTTGTAGTGCAAGTATGCCAATTGCGCCTTCATCGAGGGCGTCGGGATCATGTTGACGTTGTGCAAGCCCAGCGGCTGGCAGATGTTGGCCTGGATGTAGTCGTTCAAGCTCATATTTGTGACGCGCTCTACAGCGATGCCGGCCCAGTCAATGCCGACCTGTGACTTGAGTCAGGGACGAGATATTCGGCGGTCTCACTTTAAGGGGCTCACCTACGCCGTACTCCCAGCCCTCTCCCGGCTGGAATAAAAGAGGCTGCACGATATCCCTCACGCTCCCAGAGAACTCGTCAATGCCCGCGGGCAGACTCCAGTCACGCAACCGTTCGCTGAAGAAGGTATACCCGAATCCCGACGTGTGCGTCAGCAACATCCGGAGCGTAATTCCGCGTTTCTTGTCGACGAGCGTCCCCTCGGGCGTCAGGACCTTGATGTCGGCCAGCTCCGGGCAGAGCTTCTCCAGGTGATCAGCGTCGTCCAGGTTCAGCTGGCCCTTCTCCACGAGCTGCATGCACGCGATGCCGACGACCATTTTCGTGCACGAGGCCATCCAGTAGATGTTTTCCAGGGTCATGGGCTCCGAGGAGGAGACGCCTCGTTTGCCGGCGGCGTGGGCGAACTGTTCGGTGCCGGTGCGGTCGATTACGACCACGGTTGTCCCGGGGATCCGGTTCGGGTCGGTGGTTACGGCATAGTCTACAATGCTTTTGATTTCGTTGACGGTCTGTGAGGAGAGGGGCATTGTGGGAACTGCTGAATGTGAATTGTATGGCTTGGGTGTGATTTAAATGAGAGACGGCGTGTGAAGAGCAATGAGACGAACGTTCATATGAAGAGTGGGCGTGTGAGTGAAGAATCAGAATTCACAACGGGCACATGAGAGATAATAGAGAATATAGCTTGGCCGAGCTTCTTGGCACCTGCGCCTGGACTTTTCTAGTAGCTATATCGGTTCGGTAGCACTCAATACGGGGAAGGGAGGGTCTCTTTGCTGCAGCAAAAAGTGACGCAAGTTGACGACATACACGCTATCTATACAAACCTAGTAAACGAACCGCGTCGAACCTCGGCCCACGACACAAACAATTCATTACCCGAGAAGAGCTGAGCGACATTGTGTGGACCTCTACCGGGACCCCTAATCCGGGACTCGGTCAGTGAAGAAACCCCAAAGAGGAGTCGTCTCGGAACATGGGCCATCCCTCCCAGGCAGGCCGACGATGCGCACATGAAAGTTTGTGCTTCCCCGCAAAAGAGGGAGCAGTGTCACGGCAGTTGCGGATCCGCTCCACGACGCACGCCGACGAGCTGCCCGCTCTCTCTCTCTCCGCACTTCCTGTGACATCCCGTCTGTGACATTCGCAGGTGGCCCGCAAAGCGCGCCAGCGGATCCGCAGCAGCTCCTCCTCCTTTGATGACGGCTTGCGGCAGACGCGAGTTTGGTGTTTTGGAGAGAGAAGGAGATGTGCGATTTTGACTGGAGTGTTGCTGCATGTCTGAGGTGAGTACAACGTCGCCGGCCGATGCGGGCGACAACTGATGAAGATTCGATGCAATGCCACAAATGCGGCAGCTTCCGTGCGGAGAATGTGACTTGCGTTTGCCTCTTCCAAGTTCCTCGTACGTCAAATGTATGCAGTTCTATGTTGGGGGGGTTCGATAGGGGCGGGGATGCAGCTCTGGTGAACCATTGCGTCGTCTGATGTCACGTAAAGCATCAGTCTCATACGAAACGGCTGGATGAGGTAGACTTCACCATGTCGTCACAAGAGGGTATATAAAGCATTGAGCCCCCTCGAATCTGTGTAACAATCTGATATTGGGACGAAAAAGGTCATCCATCAGTGCTCTCACTCCTGCTCATAATTATTGTCCTCATTTAAAATTCATTCGAGAGCTTACTGTTGCAGACATGGCTGCGATCACAACTACCCAGCAAAAGAAGTTTGCGACTGACCTAACGGACTATGCCAAGCGTCGTCAGACTGATGGGCCCTACGCCGACAACCTCGATGTAGACGTGCTCATCGTAGGCGGCGGATTCGGTGAGATATCCAACCGCCCAAAGCTCAAATTCTGTCCTAAAACTGACACGATGTTCAAAAAGGCGGAGTCTTCATGCTGAAGACTCTGCGGGAGATGGGCCTGCGAGCCGTCATCTACGAAGCCGGAACCTCGTTCGGAGGCACCTGGCGCTGGAATCGCTATCCCGGCGCACGCGTCGACTCCGAGGTTCCAGAGTATGAGTTTTCGTGGCCCGAGGTGTTCAAGGACTGGACCTGGTCCACCAACTATCCCAACTATCAGGAGCTGCGGCAATACTTTGATCACGTTGATAGAGTCAGTTCACATTAATATCTCAATGCTGCAACGGACTCGACCAGGCTAATAACAAGTCATAACAGGTACTGGATCTCTCCAAAGACTGCTCATTTGATACGGTTGTCGTTGGCGCTCAGTTCCAACCGACCGAAGGAAAATGGCACGTAAAGACCGCCGACGGCCGCCTGGCAAAGAGCAAGTACTTTGTCGTTGCCGCCGGTTTCGTAAGTCAAAGTCCCCTCGGTCCAATTTCTCCTTTTCTTTTGGGCCATTAACCATCAAGGCAGGCCTCAAAACGCTACATCCCCAACTGGCCCGGCATCGAAAAGTTTCAAGGCATAGTCCACCACTCCTCCTTCTGGCCCGAGGAAGCCGTCAACGTCCGCGGCAAACGCTGCGCCGTCATCGGCACAGGCGCCTCGGGCGTCCAGATATCCCAGGAATGGGGCCAAGCCGTCGGCGAAGACGGCGAGCTCAAGGTCTTCCAGCGCACGCCGAACCTGGCGGTGCCGATGGGGAAACGGCCCCTCACGGCGCAGGAGCAGAACGTCGGCAAGGTGTGGTACCCGCGCCTCTACCAGCTGCGCGAGAAGTGCTTTGGCGGCTTCGTGTACGGCATGGTGGAGCGCAACACCTTTGACGACTCGCCCGAGGAGCGCGAGGCCTTTTATCGATCGCTGTGGGCGCACGGCGGGTTCCGGTTCTGGCTTGGGAATTACAAGGATATGTTGTTTGATGCCGATGCCAACAAGGAGGCGTACGACTTTTGGGCGCGGAACGTCCGCGCCCGGATCGGTGATGCGAGGAAGCGGGATATTTTGGCGCCAAAGGTTGAAAAGATGCCGCACTTCTTTGGCGTCAAGAGGCCTTGCTTGGAGCAGAACTACTATGAGCAGTTCAATAAGGCCAATGTCGATGTTGTCGATATCAGCAAGAACGAGATTGACAGCTTCACCGAGACGGGCATCAGGTTGAAGGATGGGACGCAGTATGACTTTGACGTGGTCGCCATCGCCACTGGATTTGTAAGTCACTATTTTCTTGTTTATTGTCAGGAGGCAATGGAGGTTTCTTGCCCTGGTCTTAAAGCGTCGCCATATGTGACAAAGCCGAAGACCAAGAGATCGAAAGTCCTGCCCTCGCCCTGCGTACGCAAACGTTGCAGAGTTTGCAAAAGCTAACCCCAGAAACTTTTCAGGACATCACCACGGGAGGCATGACAAACATGGGCCTAAAGAGCGTCAACGACACCTACCTCCAAGACGAGTGGAAGGCCGCAGCCAACACCTACCTCGGCACGACCATCAGCGGCTACCCCAACATGTTCCACATGTATGGCCCCCACGGGCCGACGCTCCTGAGCAACGGGCCCTCGACGGTTGAGGTCCAGGGCCGCTGGATCGCCGACTGCATCCGCAAGATTGAGCGGGAGAATATTCGGTACATCAATCCTACCGCGGACGCGACCAGGGCGTGGAAGCAGCGAATCAACGAGCTCAGCGACGCGTCCTTGTTCCCCACGACGCGGTCGACGTACATGGGCGGATCGATGCCGGGCAAGGCGTTTGAGCAGGTGAATTTCGCGGGGGGGATACCGCAGTATGCAAAGGAGATTAGGGAGAAGCTGGATGGGTGGTCTGGGTTTGATATTGTCAAGGATACGAGGGATAAGAGTAGGATTTAGGTTGAAAGGAACACCGTGTTGCGATGATTGTAGTCACCTCGGTGCTATCGCAGGAAATTTCAAACTTTTGCTGGAGTTGCCTAGGTAGTATTAATAAGTATTGCATTGTACCAAAAGACCATGGGCGACACTCCATGGGATAAACAACAAGATTTCGCTTATTAAAAACTGAGGGAGCCCCCAGCCGTGTAGTACAAATCGGCCTGACAAATAATGTTTCCAGGAACGTGACGACGTTCTGATCAAAGAGGTCAAAAGGGGATCTTTTGACGCAACTTTTGCATGTTAGCCTCAATGGTACACATCATTGGTCAGTTTCTAGCACTCAGTAGTTGATTCCACTCAAAGTAGTGGAAAATGGGTGTTTGGGTGTTTCAAGGAAGTAGTGAGGGTTCAGAAGGCTATGGATCGAAACATATGAAATTGGATTCTTCTTTTATAGCTTATATCGGGCTATTTCACATGGTAGTTTATTAGGTAAAACTTCATTATTATAACCACCACATGAGATTTGCTCCAGATTTTGATGATTTCTAGGAGCTAGGCCTGAAAGTAGCAGCATCAAAAAGATAAGGCCCATGGTATGAGATGTAGACAATTCATCGGGGCCGTTAGGATGTGATATATGCACGTAGGCAGACTGTTTTCCACCTGTAACACAACCTGAAAGGTGTTATAGAAAGGTCAGAGCCTTATTTAATCGCTGAAATTTAGTTCCTTCTGTTATTGGTGGTTATATGTGACTGCCCATCATATCAAATCTTGTTGGGATGAAGATGGTGGAAGAAAAGTGAAGTGCTGTGCGCAAACTTCATCCTCTGTGTCTCTTGAAAGCTCCTTCCTTGTCTGATGGACCATCATATTCATTCACCTCATCCTTCATATTCATCTTAACCGAGGCCTCAATTTTCACTCGCAGCAAAATTCGGTCACAGCTTGAGTTCTTTCTTCCATTCTCTCCCCCTCACTTCCCTCTCTCCTCCTTACCTCAACACCAAAACAAACCATTGCCACAAGGCAAATACCTGCAATTTACGAAAAGCTCCCTCATTCCCCAAACCACATCCTCTGACAATTCGCTTACTGTCCCTTCGACTGTCAGTAAGTCTTGCTCAGCTCATCTATTTGTTAATACTTCTCTAACTCATCTCCAGTGAGGATGGCCGCCGCCCGACACCTTTGGGCGCCTGGAGTCCTGTGGGCTTTGCTACTGTCCCAGCTCTTCGCCCTCACTCTCGCCCGTAAGTTTCACCAATCCTTCTCATTTGATATTTTCCATAGATACTTTCAATGGATGGCGGCGATCTAACAATCTTCCAGAGTCCGTTCCTACCCTCACCACTGCGCTCGAGTGTGGCTGTGAGAACTTCACGCCCGCCACCGACATCCTCAACAATGGATCCTCTTCCATCTGCTCTTGTGCTTGCCAAAAGACCACTTGGGTCCCTACTACCTACACGACTGTCTTCACGATCTTTGATCCCACCATTTCTGATGACCCGCTTGTTACCTCTGCCTCTGCCACGCTGTCTTACCATTCCGATGGCGACTCCTCCAAGACTGCAACTCTAAGCAGCCTGTTCAGCAGCGTCGCCTCCTCTGTCGGAAAGTTGACGACTTTGATCGATGGCACTGGCACTGTCTCCTCTACTTGGTCTCACTTGTTCCCCATTCACAATTCGACAAGTGCCCCGCACACGAGTACGGCATCTGGCATCTTCTGGACTGGACCAGGCACCGGCACAGGTGGAACGTTCGCATTGCCCACGCCAATCTGGACTAACTCTACCAAGTCTTCTCTTACCCAGACGATTAAAACCAGCGGCACTCCCCTCTGGAACAACTCGACCAAGAGCTCTCTCACGCCGACTGCCAGAACCAGCAGCAGTTACGTGGCTAATTCCTCGGCCTCTTTGAGTGTTCCAGAGTCATCTCTTCGCTCCAAGCCTTCAGTCTCAACATCTTTTGTAATCGCCTCTGGAACAACGAACCTTACCCCAATCAGCACATCCGTTTCCCCAGCCTCGCCTATTGCATCGAGCACTCTTCCAGCCCAGACAGACTCGTCAGTGGCTACGATCAGCGCACAAAACACATCCAGCCAGGCTGCCTCCACAAGCTCACTGCCCACATCCTCTGCCGTTCCTGTTCTCGTCCCTCTTGGTGGAACCATCACCGTCGAACCCCTCACAGCGACCTCATCTCAGGCGGATGGGACCTACAGAACCACCAGTGTCACTTGGCTGTCCATCGATGTCCCAACCCTGTCCACCATCAGCGGAGAAGTCACAACCACCAGCTTCCCGGCCTGGCGCTGCATCTCACTCGATCTTTGTAACCCCTCTTGCCTCGTCCCTGCTGAGGTCTGCCTGTCAGTTCCCTCGGATGACTCCAATGAGTACCCTTGGCCTGCGAAGCCTGCGGAACCCCCTTCCCCTGAGAATGGATCAACTGCCTGGAAAATTCCCAGCAAATCTGTGGCAGAGGTTACCATGCCTCACTCTACGGCTGAAGCTGGAGGAGGCGGCGGAGGCGGCGGCGGGGATCATGATGATGATGATGATAATGGCGGTGACGATGATGATGATGATGGCGGCGACGACGACGATGATGATGACGGAAACGACGACGACGACGACGACGACGATCATGGAGGCGATGATGATGACCACCACCATGGACATACCAGCGACGACGACGACGACGACGAGATTTTCCTCATCAGCTTCAGAATTGACCGCGGCCTCGACACACTCACCAAGGCCCTCCGTGATGTCCTCGGCTGGGGTATGGAGATCGGCTTCGGTACCAACAATCCAGCCGGCAAGACAGAGCCCGACGAACCCGAGCCCTCCCAGTCCAAGAAGTCGACGTCCACATCCACATCCAGTTCGACCTCATCATGCACCCAAACCTACACCATCGCCCCTCACTGCACCCAGCCATGCGTCGTCTCGCAGATCAGAAGCCAGGGAACGAGCAGCTTCACCACCAGCTGCGCCCCGGCCACCTGCCGAACTACCCAGCTCTGCACCAGTATCGAGACGACCACGACAACCACGTACACCACCAAGAGGCCCAAGGCCACTGGCGGCTGCATGGCCGGAAAGTGCCCTTCGTGCCAGGAAGACAAGAAGCTGGAGGCTCGTCAGGTCTGGTGGGACGAGGACATTCTCACCGAGACCATCTCTGAACCTGAAGAATGGCATGAAGGCGAGTACGAGTGGTGGGAGAAGCTGCGCCGCATCGCAAAGTACTACGGCCCCGGTCTGGCCATGGGAAGCAAGACGGGACACGACTCCTCGGCATCCTGGGAAGCATTTGGTCCCACCCCCCACGGTGGCGGCGCCGGTCCCGTCTGGGGATGTGTCATTGTCGCTTCCTTTTCTCCCGAGGGCGTGTACGCCAACCATCTGTGGGAGATTCCCAACTTCAAAATCCCTCCGGAGGAGGAGAAGAACTTCCAGGTCGACAAGGGCTACAAGGAGGAGTACTACTTTGAGCAAAACGTCAACCGCTTCCTCCAGTACGGCTCGCTTGACACACCCAAACAAAAGGAGTTCCCCGCCCTGTGCCCGATGAGTCTCCCTGGTGGCCCCCTCTACGGCGACAACTACCAGTTCTTTCGCACCATTGTCTTCGTACCCATCGATAACACGGGCAAGATGTACTACGTTCACGAGAACGCCAGGATCATGAAGATTCTCACCGAGAAGTGTCATATCGATAAGAAGTATATTACCGTCTATGGGTACGAACCTCACACCGAGCTCGACACAGACTTCCAGTACGACCTCGGCCGTGCCACGCCTCCACCCGACCGCCGCGCATCGAACCCATGGGACGGCCTCTTCAGCTGGATCTACACCCCCAAAGGCCCCAGCGGGAAGAGAGAGCTCGTCGTCCGCTTCGAGAAGGACGTCATTCACCGAGATGCCTGGTGCGGAGACGGACTCGTGACGCAGCCGGAGGCCCCCGTCCGGTTCGACCTCAGACCGAGCCCTCCTCGCGATTCCGAACAAGAGCCACCTCCTCCTTCTGATGAAGATACCACTCCCCCTTCTGACGGTGACACGCCTCGCCCTTCCGACACAGGCACCCCTGGCAACCCCGCGCAGATGCTCAAGATCAGACAAGATGAAGGAACCTGCCCGAGAATGATCGCCTGCGGCCTTGGCTCTCCGACGTTGACAAAGTGCGACTACAGAAAGTTCCCTCCCCCACCCCTCGACGGCCCTGCCGCTCTCAAGCCACGTGCAGACCCTCCTGGTGACCCCAAACACGGCCCAACAAAGGCGGAGATGGACCTCTCGACGGACATCATGATTGACCCCGAAGATTCCATCGGTGGCGAACGATGGTGGTACACCCGCATGCGCCATGCCGTCGATGAACGAGGCCCCGGCTTCGGCGGCACGGCCCAGTTGCCCGACGTCTGGTCCACGAGCGTCATGGTCAAATTCAACGAGGAGGTCGACGGCACCGTCGCGAACCGTCCGCGCTTCGGCGGCGCGGGGCCCATCTGGGGCTGCGTCGTCGTCGTCGTAGCGTCCCCGGAGGGCATCTGGACTAGCCACCTGTGGGAGATCCCAACGTTCACCAAAGGCGCAAGGTTCGGCAACGAAGCCAACGTGGAATGGTCGAGCCTGTACCCAAACTCTCAGGCCAAGTATTTTGAAAAGCACGCGCTGAGCTTCATGAGGAGGGGCAACGGACTCGGCACCTACAAGCAGATGCAGGAGGGAAAGTTCCCTACCACCAACCCGGGCCTCAACAAGATGTTCAAAAAGGGGGCCCGCGGGCCCTTTGACGCGCACACCAAGGCATGGCTTTGGGCCGGCATCATCATCCGCGCGCATCAGGACTTGGAGATGCCCCGGGCCGCGTACGGCTGGCAGTTGCGTTTAATGCTCGACCTCTTGAAGAGAAAGGGCGTGCCCGAGGACATGATCACCGTCCACACGTATGCTCCCCATGAGGAATTTTCCCTGTCACCGGAGCAAATACCGCCGCACTGGGGTCTCGTCAGCTGGCAGTACCACCCGGAGCACATTGAGGGCGACATGAAGTACTCGGAAAAGAAGATTCGTGTCCGGTTCGAGAAGCAGATCATCTTTGAGAAGACGTGGTGCGGCTCCGGCAACAAGATTATCGTTGCAGACGGCTCAAAGCCGCCCCCGCCCCCGGCCCCGCCGCAACGCCGACAGGAAGATGATAATGGAGATGTCGAGGCTTGTCTGTTGGCCCACAGCTCGTTGTCCGCTGCGGCTTCCGCTTCCTCCGTCGCCGCCAGCGCCGCTGCCGTGCTGCCGCGCCCCACCCAGGCTTGCGCTGCCGATGCCGAGTGCGGCTCACTCGCGTGTCCTCAACCCCGATTCGGTGCTTGCTTGTACGGTTTCTGCCGATGTGCCCTCTCCGAGAGTCTGAGATACACCAAGACTCCTCCCACTCCAGTGCCTGGAATGTACACCAACACCGCCTTGCCTGTGAACTACACGTCCCCGACAAACATCATCACGTTGTCCACAGACTCTCCGACGAGCATCCTTTCAAGCGGAGCATCTTCAGCTACACCCTCATCGACGGACACGTTCTTGACGGAGAAGACGACGAGCTTACTCATGCCCCCGTCTACCAAGAACGTATCGTCCTCCACCGTCTCCCCCCTGTTCACCGTCACCCTCTCGGCCTGGGACCCTTCAAAGACCCCCATCACCAGCTGCAACACGACCCAGGACTGCTCAACCCTCACCTGCGCCGGCAACCAGACATACGCCTGCATCACCAAGGACGACAACTCCAAGTCCACCTGCCACTGCGTCGACCGCCCCACGCTCTTCGGCCCTTGCACCGCGGCCTCTGACTGCGCGCACCTGGAATGCGACGCGAACCACTCCTCAGCCTGCCGCACCCTCGTCGACTTTGACGGTGCCGACCCCGTCTGCCAATGCGACCCCATCGCCCTCAAGCCGGGCGCCTTCTGCACAGTCGACTCCCACTGCGACGGTCTCCCCTGCGACGGCACCAAGAACCAACGCGGCTTCTGCAAGAAACCCCCTTCCTCGGCGGATGTCGGCTCCTCCGGCGGCTGCCAGTGCGATTACTTCCTCGCCGAGGGCGTCGGCTGCGCCTCGCACGAAGACTGCTCGCCCATCCGCTGCACCGAAGCCGCCCCCTACAAAACCTGCACCCTCCCAGACGGCCCCGGCGACAAGGACGCCAACGTCTGCGCCTGTTCCGCCACGGAGCCCCCCCGCCGTCACCACGAGGGCGACAAGTGCACCGCCCACAGCGAGTGCGCCACCATCGGGTGCACCGACTACGAGGTCTCGGTCTGCGAGGTGGACGTCTGCCGCTGCCGCGCCTTCATGTGCGCCTCGCACCGGGACTGTCTCTCCAGCGGCCTCGACTGCGGCGACAAGTCGAACCTGCGGTGCGGCGACCAGGGCCGGTGCGAGTGCAAGCGCTGCACGGAGAACTTCAAGATCCTGGCGTGCAGCGACGATGCGGATTGTAACCACTGCTGCGCGCGCGGGACCTTGCCCAAGTGCGTGTATGGATGCGTTACGTTTTGGTGTGGCAAGGAGTGCCAGTGTGAGCTTTGGTAGATTGGAAGGGATGATTTGGGCAAGGAAGGAAAATTCGGGTTTCCTTTTTCTTTTCTTTTTTTCGCCTATTATCTGGCTACCTAGGATTGCATCGAGAGATTGAGCACTTGGAGGATGCGGAATGATGCCGAGATACACCGCCGTTAAGGCAAAGACAGACCCATTGAAATGAATGAGATGGTTTCTCGTCAATATGGTGCCGCGCCTTGATTACCGTGAGCTGTGAGTCCCTGAATTCGTGAGATTGGCCCAGAGAGTTTTATATACCGATAGTATTTTCTGCCTCAGAAGACAGAGTGCTTCTCAAAATAACCTTAACCGAATCATCATCGCCTAAGACTTTATTATAAAATAAGCCGTCACTGTGCAGAGGTCGGGTTTTCTGAGCCATTCCCCTTCTGCAGGAGTAGAAACTCATCCAGCCGCTTGGCAAGATTGTATCACCAAGACTACTATCCTCAAGTTCCCATTCTGAACCATCCATCCGAGCCCAAGTGCCCCCAGACAAGAGTAAAAGAGAATGATTACAAGCTCCATTAGCAGTAAGCCATATTTCGAAACTTCACGAGCATCATGTTTCGAGGAGGACTGAGGTGGGCTGAAATGGTTTGCCCAATAGCCATCAGCCATGAAGACCATTGATGAAACTGCCGTTGAGATGAGAATTGAACCTGGGTGCGGAAAAGACGGTCCTCAAGCAAGAATAGAATCCTGAATACAATCCGTGATCCTCCTTAAGGCGGGCGACGAGGTGCGGGACGACGTGCTCACGGTGATCGCCAACGGCGGCTACTTGATCACACCCACATACAGCTGGTCTTTTTTTGTGCGGCACCACCCAGACGACGCTGTCAAGCTGCGGAACACCCATCTCACTTGGCGGTTGCCTCAGAACGGGTCATACCTGGTCGAAAACGGGGAGAGGGCGCCTGATGGCGCGGAGCTGTTGAGTGTGGATTCCGACTGGAATTTTGTGCAGAACGTCACGGGGGATGCTTCGTGGAAGTGAGTTCTGTCTGTCATGATCGCGTGCCGAACGAGCGTCTGATTTTTGGACTGGATGCTGACGGTGAGTGAACGGCCATGAGAATATCAGCCAAATCTTTGAGAAGATCGAGAAGAACACCAACTTCCCCAACAGCGCGCCGGGTCATGGATTCGAGGTTACTTCAATACGAATCTCGGCAACGGATCGAAAGATCTCAACAACCATGGTCTCATGGACATTCTCAAGTGGCACTTGCGGTACATTTGGGAAGACCCGGAGAAGCAGAATGAACTGGTAGGCATCGATGGAAACTTCCTCAACCAAGACAGAGACACGACGGAGGGCATGTGGGGTTTGTCTTTACATACGACGGACAAGTGGGAGCGGTACATCCCTCGTATGTACTTCTATGAGACCCTGGCGGACAAGAATGCGAATGGCTCTTCCAAGTGGCCGCTGAACTTGTCGACGACTTTTCTGGCCACGAGAGTCCTATTCAAGGGGCATTTGGCAGAAGGTCTAGGGCCGTTGGCGTTGAGTATTTGGCGGGGAACTCCACGTACGGCGCCGAAGTGCGACAAAAATCATCGACGAGGGGCGAGACACGACAAGCAATTACATCCCGCGAAGTTAATATCGCAGGTGGTGCTTTCAGTTCGCCCCAAGTCTTACAGTTAAGCAATATCGGGAACCAACCGGACTTCAAAGCACTCGACACCAAGTTCGTGGCAGACTTGCCGCGCATAGACCGGAACCTCCGAGACAATCAAGAGTTCTCTGTAGTCGGACACGCGCAGGTCGACCTCACAGCTACCCTGAAGCCCGACGAGCCGACCTGCGCAATTGGAAACCGCAGAGACCCGTGCGAGGCATTGTAGAGGCAGGGCAAGGGCGCGTACATGTGACCTGGATACTTGAATTCGTTGCTGCTCAGATCCAACTTTTCGCTGAGTGGCGAGCGAGAAGTTTTCTTCTTTAGCTGGCTGAGGGCGTTCTGCGGCTTCTGGCCCGAGGTGCAGCAGCCAGAGCTCCTCGATCTGCCAATTATCGTCGGCTTCTCGACGGTCAAGATGCACTCGCAGAACACTCATCAAGAACCGGTCCGCAGACCTGAGGGAACCGCCACAGATCAACTTTGAGCTGTACAAGGAAGGCGCCGAGTCGGCTCGAAAGCATCAGGAGAGGTGGTGGCGTGGGGCCGACGGAGCATGGGCGGGATCCAAGGTCCGTGGGCTCCACTGGAGCCGGCCGAACCTCTGTGCTCGGGGGTCAAGAGCGACGGCCGTTGCGGTACGCGGACGCGGAGACGGATGAGGATTGGATCCGTAGATAGACGTTTGGGCATTATCCTATGGGTGCGGTGGATGATGGCATGGCGGTGGTGGATTCCGAGTCTCGTTCCTGGAGTGGCGACCTTTATCATTAGCCAGAAGGCGTCGGATGTGATGCAAAAATGTGCAGCAACATCAGAGGCGTATAGGATAATCGTGGTAGGCAAAGGTAGCGACCGCACGCTAATTAGATGAGACGACGTTGCTGGGGCAGTCAAGATTGAGAAACTTCTGAGTTCTTCCATGCATGCAAGCAAGGTGAAGGGTGAAATGCCAGCCACGAGCCACGTCGCCCCAGCGTCGCGTCGCAACACAACCACGGCGGTGTCGCGGCATGTCCTGACAGCAATCGCGTCGTATCCGTACTGAGTAGCGTCATCTGGTCTTTCCGTTGGGAAATATGTCTGGTGCGGTATGGGATGAAGGGAGGATTCAGGGTCGCCTGATGTTCTGGAGCCTTCCAGTAGGTGGGATAAATGAGGGAAAGCATGTGAAGGTATCTAAGCTTCCAAAATGAGTGGGAAAGATACGTGGCTGAGGTCTGGCGCTGTTACTGGGGCTACCTTCTTTCTAGCTCGCACACAGCCACAGCCACACCCATGCCTGGCATAAGCTCCTCAAATCTACAGGCGATGACGTTTGGACCTCGCCCCCTCGTGCCCCACTTTCCCCTCTGGCGGAAGCTGGCACTGGGCCCATGCTGGCCCCTGCTCCTTGCTTGCCGCCCTCGTTCTTTCCTCGATGCCCATGCAGACAGGGCAGCTACCTACCACCAGGTGGTCCCTCTCCCAACAGGGACCCTGCTCTGCTGTGGTGCCCAGCATCGTCACCAGCAGCTGGAGGCCGCCACCTTCTACCCCCAGGCCCGGCACGCCTGGGCTGGATGGTCTTTCGTCGCCTGCCTTGGCTAAAAGGTAAACCGCGTTCCCATGACTCTTCGTCTGATCGTCTCACTGACCTCCAACATTCCCATGCCGGCACGTCCCTTTTCTACATAAAACCCATCATCGACGCGATTCGGACCAACACCCTCTTCTGCTCGGCTCATTTTCTGCTTTTCCCAGATACCCATCCAACGTGACAGACGACGTACATAACCGCCCTTGATACCCCATCCAGTCTCCAGTTACCCCTCACAACACTCCCTCCTACAACAACTTTTCCACACATTTCTCAATAACGTCAAATCACCAACAACCGCCATCATGTCGAACACCACCGTCCACGTCAAGAACATTGCTTCGGCGACCGAGGACAAGGAGATTAAGGACTTCTTCAGCTTCTGGTAAGTTATCCCGGTCCCCTTCGAGGCACCCTCTAGCCTGATACTCCCCTGTACACCGCAACTCCCCCTGGCTTGGAGCTTTGGCTGACAATTGGCAGCGGCAAGATCACCAACATCGAGGTCACTCCCGCAGGCGAGACCAAGGATGCCGCCGTCACTTTCGAGAAGGAGACTGCCGCCAAGACGGCCCTTCTTCTGAACAACACCCAGCTCGGTACCTCCCACATCACCGTCACCAGCGCCGGCGGCGACCCTACCGATGACGCCGCCCACCACAAGGAGAATGCCAACCGCGACTCGGACGATATCACACAAGAAGAGAAGCCTCGCTCTCGTATCTTCGCCGAGTACCTCGCCCAGGGATACGTGGTCGGTGACGCCGCCCTCCAGCGCGCCATCGAGCTCGACAGTCAGCACGGCGTCTCCAACCGCTTCCTGAGCACCCTTCAAGGTCTTGACTCCAAGTACCACGCAACCGATCGCGCCAAGGCCACGGACCAGTCCTACGGCATCTCTGCCAAGGCCCAGGGTCTCTTTGGCGGCCTGAGCTCGTACTTTGAGAAGGCCACTAGCACACCCACCGGCAAGAAGATTGTCGGTTTCTACGAGACCGGCTCCCGACAGGTGCAGGACATTCACACCGAGGCCCGTCGTCTGGCCGACCTCAAGAAGGAGGAGCACGGCGGCAGCGCCTACAAGGCCTCCGGTCTCGAGAGATTCTTGGGCAAGGAGAAGACTGCTCCCCCTGCCACTGGTGAGACCATCGGCACCCAGTCTCCTACCCAGCCCGACACCACGACGGCTGTTCCTCTGTCCAAGCCGTCAGCTGCGACCGACGAGAAGACTCCTTTGTAAAAGAGTGACGAAAACTGGTTCGCAAAAGGATCTGAGGGCAGGCGTTGGCTGGGTTTATTAGGCACAAACGTTTCATGATTGCGACGCGCGTGGTTTTCCTTGGCACTTAGGTAGTTACGAATTTCAATGCAAATCATGGCATCGAACATTTTTTCTCTCATACTTGTCCCGACATTCTGATGTGACGGTTTATCCCGTTCTGTCCACGAATTTTTTCTGCCTAAACCGACGCTGAATCCTGGCTTTGTCTCCTGTCCGAAAATATTCCATATCCTGGTGATGCATATTTTAGCCGAAGGGGAAGCCAATGTCTAGGTAGGTCACAGTACTGGCAACGCGTGACTTGCTTGTGATTGGTAGGAATGTGAAAAAGTCCCTCACCTCAATCAATTCAAGTGGTATCATTTCGCACCAGTAGACGTCATGGATACTGTAGATTTTGAGGAAGATCTAATAATCACAACACTGGTAGATAGTCCCACTCACATTAGGCGATATGATTTTTGGGGTGACTTTTGAATGCTTCTATTTGGCATTCTCAATGTCTAAAATACAGCTTCACAATCGTGATGTGTGTGTGTGCCTCATGCTTCATGTCCCAACAACGCCTTTATGAATGATATCCGTACCCCATCTCATGATTCATATACTGATCTACTGCGTCTTGGAGAACTTCTCCTTGAGAGCATCGTCGAGAGGTCCCTTGGGGTTGGACTCTAGCTTCTGCAATGGGAAAAATTTGGTTAGATTGACTTGATTGGGATCAATGACATAGTCGATGAGAAGGTGCTTGACATACATCGAGAGACTCCTTGTTGGCTTGCTCCTTGTTGGCGGCGTCGTCGGTTCCCTTGCCGGAGGCGGGGGGGTCCTGCTGCTGGGCGCCGGACTGGCGCTCAGGGGGAGGAGATTGGCGTCCTTCGGGCATTTTGGAATGCGTGTTTGTATGTAAGTCGGGGTTGAAGGTATTTTTTGGGAGCTGTTGAGTTTGCAGAATGGACGGGTAGTTGCTGTTGGTGGCGAGGCTTGGTAGTTTTGGAAAGGGAACTTATGTTCGGGATAGGAGAGACATGGCATTATATATGAAGGTCAAGGTAAGCTCACACCTCGCATCAGGACGGAGCTACTACTCCTTGAGGTACCTCACTGGCTACATCACGTTTACACATTCACTCGAGGAAAGAGGGGGCAGAGACTGGCCAGTCTTGGAACAGAGGGGGGTAGGTGGCTCTTGCGTCAACGGAGGGGCGTTGCACGGAAGCTGAGTGAGGCGCTTGTATGATCTCTCTGTGTTGGAGGAATTGAAAAGGTCAGAGGGGGGGCGCGCTCTTGAGTGGTGGGAAATGGTCAGAGAGGGGGTGATTTGCGGCTGTTTGCTGATTGCGGCGGTTGACATCAGTCTGTGTGGTTGATGCCGTCATGCGGCATGCTTGTGGTGGTGGTTGATGAAGGTGACGGGAAAGGGTGCGCAGAGCTCCAAGGGGCGGCGGCTTTGACGTCACTTCCGAGTGGTCACTACCTGCCTTTGCCTTACCTTAGATATTATTGAGGATGGGAACCTCGATAAATCCAATGACTGCTTGATCGATACCTTACCTTAGGTAAGCGCTGCATGGCTAATCGATAAACGCTATCTTATCGTAATCTGGGTCCGGGCAAAGACCGGAAATATCGCCGAGTAATTACGGCCAAAATCAAACCACGGAGCTGCAAGGGGGGAAAGACAGCGGAAGGTCCGCTGAAGAATGTCGCTAGAGAATAGCCGACCGGAGCGGACGCCTTCCGGCGCTGGGCTAGGGACCTAAAGGGGTGCGTCGCGGTAGCTCGCATCGCGAATCACGCCAGTCATCACAGTGGACTGGAAATGTTCTGATTACCCGTTGTGTCCCCGTTCTGTGCAACAAACCGCCAAGAAGGGATTGTCCTACCATACCTTCTTACCTTGGGTAGGTAGTCGTACCCGTACTTTCGAATTCCAGGTCGTAGTCCTCCAAATCAATCCCCAGAAACACATGGTGGAATCATCCATACACCACTTGGATAACCATGCATGGGGATCCATGGTGTTCGACTGAGACACTGGAACAAGGTGCCGATACGGATAGGTCGATACCGATTTGTAGCGGTAGAGTGTTGTCGGTTCAACTTGAGCGGCACAGCCCAGGCCCAAAACACCATTTGAGGATGTTCATGGTGTGGACCGCGCCAATTGATTAAACGTCCGCCATCCCCAACGCTCCCGCATATCCAGATGAAGACGGAGAGAATTGCTGCCATGGCTGTCCTGAGGGTGCCGTGGTAGTAATGGAAACCCTGCCCTCCAAGGGGCTCAAAGCGAGGATTTCAGCAGTTAAAAACAGGCTCCGACACAATATTGGGGGAGCATTGGAGGCTTCGGGGACCCTGTTTTTGTGTTAAGGACAAGGGAATCAATAGTAGGAAAAGTCTAAATCGCGGGAGACACCACCCGAACGGGCAAAACAGGCAGGGCGTCAAGGCCGGCAGCTGTCTTTTCGGAATTTGGAAAGTTGGGATATTGAAAATGGGACTATTGGTGGTTTTCTGAAGCTTAGGAAGCAAGAAAGTGGTGTCATGTCTCAGCGCCTTCACCTTAACTTACCGCGGCCGATATTGGGGCCATGGCGGATCGGCTGCGATGTTTCAACAAACGGGGGGGTGCTACGGGACCCAAGGGATGACAGGACGGGAAGCCACATGGACACACAACACACGGATGGGGCAGACGGATAAGGAGACGAGCGAGAAAGAAAGCGATCTGACAAGTTTGGCCATCACCACCACAAGTTCCGCAAACGGGAAGGCGCCCTTTTTTGCCTTGTCAGAATGGGAAAGGAACGGTGTCTCGCGGCAGGTGCTAAGGCTGGAAGAGGGAAGCAAAGGTGCAAAGGGAAGAAAGGGCGGATTGGGATCAACAACCATGGTGGTCCCTGCCTGCGCTTCCTCCGGAAAGGTCGCACCTGCCCACCTCCTACACGACCTCTGTTTTTGTTGGCGGTGCCGGACAGAGGAAGGAGTCGTACAGGTGCGACCCTACTGGGAAAAACTCTACCTTCTTTTAACCTCACTTCCTCGCGATTGTGTTTCTCCTCACTACACACCCAACGCCATGTCGAATTCAAAGATCCAACTTGGACCATCCCGACGAGCTGTCACGATGCCACATGCCAATGGTTACAAGCTTAGACGTAGAGTAACTGAGAAGGCCGTACAAATTGGTCGCTCGAACTATTCAACACCATTACTACTCTTACAGGACCAAACCCAATCCAACCCGTACACATTTTTGCCGAAACCACCGAACCCGTAGAAATGACAATCCAGAGAAATGACACATTCATAAACCATCGTCAAAAAGTATCCGACAAATCCACTGCGCGAGACCAACAACTCATGCAATCATTAGAACCTCTTATTTCTTCTTACCACCACCAAGAGCCTTTGTCAAGCTGCCGAGGCCAAGGCCATCGAGCAGACGGTTGAGACCCAAGGTACCGAGCAGGCCATCAACAATCCTGCCAAGCCCTAGGCCGTTGAGAAGACGACCGACCAAGTTGAGGACACCAGTCAGCAGAAGACCGACAGCAGCCAGAATCTGGAACAAAGGCTCAGTGAGAAGTCCCCAGAGAGGGTTAAGCTCAGCCTTGGCCTTGGGCAGATCCTCAAGCTTGCGCTTGGCACCCTCGACAGTTTCCGTGATAGTACCAGTCAACTGCCATCAAAGTTAACATGCATTCATAATCATGGGGGTCATCATCTCGGAGTCAAACTCACCTCCTTTAGGACCTCGGCGAGGTGATGCTCCTCGGGAGTAGCCTCACGAGTCTGGGACTTGGCCTTGGCGTTCTGCTGGATGCGTCCGTCAGGGTCCAAAGCGCGGACACTGCCATTTAGCTCAGTCAAGAGCTTGCCACCCTCCTCAATGAGAGGCTTGACGTCCTTCACCAGCTGCTCCTCGTCACGCTCTTCCTTTGGCTGGCGCTCAGCAGCCTCAATCTTCTGCGTGATCAACTTGCAGATGGGACGGAGACGATCCAGGCCCTGCTCGATCAAGGCTCCGAGATTCTTGGCCAGCTTACGATCGGCCTCGGCCTCGATGCGAGCCTGCTTCTCCTCCTCTGTCTCTTCTGGCGCCTCCTCCTCCTCGACAATATCCTCAACAAGAGTTACGTGTCCAACAACACGGTCCTTTGAGTCGACAACGTCGCTGTCGCTGTTGACCTCCTTGCCGGCGCAAATAGTTATCTCGCCAGTAGTGAGTCTGCCGATGATGTTTCCATCCTCGTCACAGACCTCGCCGTTCTTGTTGACCTTGCGACCCTCCATCGGTCCCTTCTTCTGAGGAAGATCAGCGATGGCGGTCACGTGGCCAACAACACGGTCCTTGGAGTCAACAACGTCGTTATCCTCGTTGACCTTCTTGCCAGCGCAGATGCTGAGCTCACCGCTGGTGAGCTTGCCAAGGGTCTCGCCGTTATCGCTGACAACCAAACCCTCCTTGTTGACAACTTTACCTTCCATAGGACCCTTAGGCTCAGGAATGTCCTCGAGAAGCTCGACGTGACCAACCACTCGTCCCTTGGAATCGACAACGTCATTGTCCTCGTTGACGGGCTTTCCAGCACAGGCCTTGATCTCGCCAGAGGTGAGCTTGCCGATCACATCACCATCCTCGTCGACGATCTCGCCACTGCGGTTGACCTTGCGACCCTCCATAGGGCCTTTCTGTCTCTCAGGGGCAGCTTCAGGCTCCCAGCGCTCGGCCTTGCCGAGCAAGTTGCCGTTGCGGTCGAGAATATCACCATCTTCATCAATTGGGCGACCGAAGAGGACCTTGGCATCACCCTGGACAAGACGACCGACGATGTCTCCAGCGGGGGTAACAATGGTACCGTCCTTGGCCACGGTGCAGCCAGGAAGCTCAGCGAAAATACCTTCCTTGGCCCCTTCGCGGTCACTCTCTGCGACAAGCTCAGCTCGGCCGATAATGTCACCGGACTCGCTGCGGACGTTACCGTCCTTGTCGCACATGCGACCGATGAGGCGCTTGATGTCACCCTCGATGATGCGACCATAGATAGTACCATCTTTGTCGACGACATTGCCGGCCTTATTGACGCGCTTGCCAGCGAGGGCAGAGTTGTCGACAGCCGCCTCTGGTTCAGGCTCAGGCTCAGATTCGGGTTCCCAGCGCTCAGCCTTGCCAATGGCATTGCCGCTCCTGTCGAGGATATCACCATCGTCATCAACCTTCTTGCCCTTAAGCTTCTTCGGGTCACCTTCGATGACACGGCCTACGATGTCACCCTCAAAGAGGACGTGGCCGTTGGACTCAACAGTAGCGCCAGGGAAGTCTTCAAAGGGCGCAGGCTCACTGAGCTCCTCACGCTCAGTCTCAGGAATGGGCTCTGCCTTGCCGATGACCTTGCCGCCGTCGTTCCAGATCTCACCAAGCTCGTTGGCCTTTCGGCCAACCAGATGCTTGAGAATGCCGGAGACGATGCGACCCACAGCCTCACCCTTGTCGTTGACGAGGTTGCCGGCCTTGTTGACCTTGGCACCCCTAAGGATGGAGAAATCGATGGTATCCTTGAGGAGCTCTTCCGCAACCTCGGACTTAAGCTCAGCCTTGCCAATGATGCTGCCACGCTCATTTACAACGTTGCCTTCGGCATCAATGGTCATACCAACAAGGTCCTCAGGGTTGCCCTCGGCGATGCGGCCGATGGAGGCATTGTCGAAGATGACTTTACCCTCGTCGTCAATCTCGGCGCCAGGAAACTTCTCGAAAGGCTGGAGAAGCTTGTCGCCAGACACCGTGACGGTCCTTTGGTCTGCGGGGATGGCAGAGCGGATCGTGCTGAGGACGCTCTTAATATCGTCCTTGATGGTGGACTTGGGAGCAGACTCAGACGCAGCGGTAACGTCAATGTCGGGGATGTCGCCAGTCTTTGCAGTGGCGGTCTCGGCGGCATCCTCGATACCCTCCACACCCGAGTCGTCTCCCTCCTCAACACCCTCAACACCCTCAGTCAACCCCTCAGTCTTGGGGAACTCGCCAGTCTGAGCGTCCTCGGGAACTTCGAATTGCTCCTCAGGGTTCTGCTGGTTAGCCCAGTCCTCAGTCGCGTCAGATTCGCGGGGAGTCTCGGCGCCAGACTTGGCGTCCTCGACCTGGGAAGCCAGATCCGAGGGCAACTTGGAAACCAAGTCGGTGGGGAGCTTCGATTGAGCATCGAGGGGAATCTGTGAGACGGGAATGTCGGCAGTCTGGACATCTTCCGGAAGCTCACTCTTCAAACCATCGGGGATCTGTGAGACGGGAATATCGAGAGTGGCGATGTCATCGGGAACGCGGGACTGGGCGTCAGTCTTGGCAGTGCCAACCTTCTCAGTCGCGTCATCCTTGACAGTCTCGTCGATCTCTGTCGCCTCCTCGATAGGTTCGGCATCCACCTCTTGCAAGTCATCCTTGCCGTCGACTGTTGATTGCTCTGTGAGATCTGTCTTGGCGCCTTGGGAATCTTCAGTCTCTGTTTGGGTGTTCTCTCCGCCGGTGGTGAGCTTACCATCGAGGTCGTGTTGCGACTTTTCGACATCCTGAAGATCGATTGGGGCAACCTCTGAGGTCGTCTCGTTGTCTTCGAAGAGGTTTTGCTTCGCGTTTTCGGTCAAGGAGGCCTTATCGTCTGCCTCCTCCTTCTGCTCAGCAAGCAGCTGGGTGAGCTTCTCGTCCTTGTCGGTGACGGACTGATCGCGGTTCAAGGGCTCAGTGCCACCAAGAACGCCACCAAGAGGGCCGCCGCTTTGACTCTGACCCAAAACACCTCCAAGGAGGCCCCCGAGGGCATTGTCTGATGATGTGCCCTTTTCGGACTGACCACCCAGAGCTCCAGTGACGTTGCCCAAGGTGTTTCCGAGTAATCCACCTTGAGAGCCCTTCTCATCTTGACGACCACCTAGGACGCCGCCGAGCACACCTCCCTGGCCTTCACCCAGACCGATGCCCTTGGTCAAGTCGCCGACAAGCGGTAATGTGCGGTTGATGGTCTGAACAGTGCCGTCGACAGTATCGACAATGCCCTTGACGCCCTTGGTAGCGCCCATGATGCTGAAGCCGCCGCCCTCCTTGGAGTCGCCGCCTTCCGTCAGCTCGCCGAGAGGAAGAGCTTTGCCGATGACACCGCCGTCCTTGCCGATGATATCGCCTGTCGCGGTGACGACGTTGCCGACAAGTTCTCCGGCTTCGCCTTCCGTGACCTTGCCAACAGTCTTGCCGGTCTCGTCTACCACCTCACCGGTTTTGCCAATAACACCAGCGACGAGGTTGTCGCCATGGTCTTGGATATCTTGCTCGACCGAGTATGCTACGAGGAATCAGTTGTCAAATCATCATGATCCGCGTAAGTGAACTCACTTGACTTCTGCTCCTCGCCCTTTCCCCAACCACCTGGCATGCTGCTGCCTGACTTGGATGCAGCTCCGACCATGTTGTTTGTGTTCTTGTTGTACTTTTGTTGTTGATCTTGCTCTTGTTGTGATAAAAGTTTTTGTACTCAGCGCTGACAGGGTATCTTAGAAAATGTAGCTGTTCATGAGATGATTGCATTGAATTGGGAGAGGAAAGTCAAAACATAATACCAAAGACCTGCCGGTCAGACGTCTTATACCTCAAATTCTCTGGCGCAAATCAAGTTTCCAGCTGAACTTCGGCCCCTAACCTTACGTCAAGGGGAGCTCAAGCTCGAGGAGCTTCCCTCGTCCTTAGAAGCTCTAGCCCCTGCTCGCGCCACAGGGTGACTTCATGGGGGAGGGATGGTCAGGTTGCCAGTCGCCCATCATGACGCAAAGCCACACTCGTCCGAGCCCTTGGACGGCTGGATCCCAGCTATCATGACGCAACTCGTTTTTGGAAGGGGAGATGCGACTTGGGGTATGGTGTGACAGCCAGCCAGTCTGGGGAATTACCATTGGCTTCCTGATCGATCGACGGCCACCTTTCTTGGAGACGCTCAGTTGGTGTGGCTAGTGTTTCCCGGGGGTCTCCCTGCTCTGCATCATTCATTCGTCAGTTCCTCCACAGTTAACCCCCCGGGCACCTCCAGCAACTTTCTTTTCTAAAATGTGGTTGCGAAGTTCATGAAGGCTGGACTCGCATGCACGACGGACGTCATGACGCTGTTCGAAACACAAAAAATCAACTTCCATTCGCCACGTCCTGCAAGTTCCCAAATCACAACCCGCGTCTATGCGCCCGCAAGCATCCGAAGGTCTTGCCCCGTGTTCAATTTTTCAGCCTCACTCAACGGGTCAGTAACGGGGTCTTTGAGCCACGAGCTTGTGCAAACGGTTCGTTGCAAAGTTCTGTATGGATGGAACTACAATTCAAATCCTAGCCTATGTCCATCTCACTACCGTCTGAACGCCGCCGCATGCTAGCATCTACCGTTGGTTCCAGAACTCCCAAAGATCGACTTCCATGGAAAAAAAAACCCCCCGCAAATCCCGTTACATGCTCATCTGGTTCCTATATGGATATTGGGATTCCCACCACCGTGAAATACAGTCGGGATCTTGATGATAAGCTGAATGCCATCATTGGTCGACTTAACGTCCATGAATATCTCGGACGGACTGGGAGTTGTAGCTGATGGCTTGGACTGCCGATGGGCAGTACATTGGGGGCAGCTTGTGTGCGTGTCGGGCATATAACCAGGTCGAGGACTACTGGAATCGCCAGAGCTACTCGTTTGGCCCGTCTGTTGGACAGACTTGGCTAAGGGCGCGCCGTCGAAGTGGCCGACGACATTATTATTCTTGTCGAGGATATTGCCCATATGGTCCACCTTCAGTCCGTCGCCCATGCCTTCAATAGGTTTGGGGGACGGAGGTGTTGGTGGAATGGTATCGTTCTCCGCTACGTAACCGACCACCTCACCGTCTTCGCTGAAGATCTCGCCCGTTACTGAGACTGGCCGTCCGATCATGGACGGCAGGTCACCCTCAACGCGTCCAAGCACCTGGCCGTTCCAGTCCAGAATGTTCCCAAACTCATCGACATACTTGCCATCCAGACCTTGCGCAAGTTCGGCAAGGTTTGGCGGCAGCCTGAGGTCTGAAGACAGAGGCGTGACCTTGGGGATAGCGATGGGAGCATTTTTCTCCTGAGGCTTCGGTGTGTCTTGCGACGATGATTTGGCATCTTGCGCGCCCTCGTCTGTGCCAGTATCTGTGGTCTCGGTTGCCGGCGGCGTTGATACCTCGGGTCCCGTTTGGTTTTGTGTTGACGATGTCCTCATCGGGATGGGTATCTCCCGCGAGCCCTGCAAGTGAACAGGCCTGCCCTGCTGCGGCTGTGGGGTGCTCCTGTAGCTACTCTGTCGAGGAGGATGTTGCGGAGGAGTGGTTTCATGGAAAGGCGCCGGCGAGGAAGCTGCCCGCGACTGAGAGTTCAGACGAGGCAGAGGCGGGCGTGAGAAAGTGCCTTTGGGGGCCTCTTCCATTCCAGCCTCCCCCTCCTCGACCTCGACAACCTCATACTCATCATGCCGGGAAGTATGATCAGGATCTCCGGCTCTAGCCACAGGATGTGGCTCGATAGGGTGCATAGTGTGCGACGAGGGTTCCGGGCGCGCAGGTACGGGACTCTGCATAGATTGCTGTGCAGGCGGCTTCGAGGCAGGGCTGTCGGCTTCGTCGCTGAGAGTTTGGGGTGGAGTCTGCTGAGCAGGAGGGGACGCCGTCATCATTGGATGGCTCTGTGGGAGGAGAATGTTCTGCGTCAGCTAGGCCTTGACTGTCAAAGAGAGGGGAAGGGGAGGGAAGCGAGGCCACCGCCAGCTGTGTGATGGAATGGAGAGCTGGCAACCCACCTCAGGATCGGCCTGCTTCAGAGAGTCTGGGCGGCGGTTGAGAGAGTAAGGAGAGATGGTATTCGGGTGTTTCTGTCGAGTGCCTGAGTACGTTACGTTTCTCTCGGTGCACCCCTTGGCCGACACACGCGGGCAGAGGTTTTCTGGTTGCTCGCGCGGCGCGGGGAGCGGTTCTGCAAGGCCTGCAATGCAGAAGGGGGTTGGCCGAGTCGTTGTGACGTCAGGTCGACGACGAGCGATACCAAGAGTGGGTTGTGTCTGCCGAGACTGACAACTGGGGCAGCTCTTGGGTTCCAGAACAGGCGAACGGGGCGACGGTTCACGTTGACTCCTTGTCAGGCTTGTTGTGCAAGGATGGGGGGTCAAGGGCTCCTCGAACCGAGATCTGTCGACTCCACAGTGTCTCCAGATACACGCAAATGTCTCCACCAGGTACTTCGGAAACAGCATGCAAAGGAGCACGAGAGGGAGGGATCGTAGGCGGGTGGTGAAGATGGCAGAATGGGAACTAGGCAAGGCTCCGAAGATGGTGCCGGAACAGCGCTGACATTGGAAGCAAAAGGTCCGACAAGTCTGGAAAAGCCTGTTTTCCATTGAAACACAAACGACTGTGCGAACGGCCGTGGTGCTGAGTGATTAGGCTGGCGCCTGAGCTACTGTACAGACGGAACGCACGGCTAGCCGTCAACTGTTGCTGAAGAGTACGGAGCGCGAGCCTGGACACACGTGCATCGACGCTATTCCAGCCCGGGGGCCCTCACTTGACCCAGAGGAAGCTTCGAGCTTACCGACCACACCGACCACAGACTCTGGAGAAGGTCCTAGACATCGACCTGGACAAGACAATCAGCATTCAGATGTGGCTCATGAGTGATCCAGGGGGAGGCATCAGCTTCATCAGAAGTTCGGGTTGGTCCTCATGCCCGAACAGCTTCAGCAGACCCTCAGAGACGTCTCGAGTTTGCCAAAGGATGGGGCCGCGTGCCGTCAACGCCACAACCGACAAGACCTGACGAAGGATGATCTCGATGGTAGCCAGAAGGGGCAATGAGATGCAAATAGGCGAAGAAGAAAAAAGTCGACGAAAGTCCAGACCGTTGGAAATGAGACGGAGGGAGCACGATCGGCGCGATACGTTTGTCGGCAGGTGGCTCGATGATTGAGACTGGTGAAGATCGCTTGACTGACGTTTTCAAAGCGACCAGGACGACGTTGGACGTGAGTGGCTGATGCTCCCACCCGATGCGCCGGGATGCGACGCAAGAATTTCCCCTTCAGCCACGGCTACCCTGCACGTCTAGCGTTTTGCACGATTGAGAGCCCCCCGCCACACAGAGTCGAGACGGTACTGTGGATGCCGTTTACCGGGCCTCCCGTCTCTTGAGGTGGCATTGGGATTGAGAGGAGTGGTGGGGAGAGGGGAGCAAGGGGGCCGTTCCACCGTTACATCTGGCGGCGGGCGGGCACCAAAGGACGACTCACTCGCACACCAACTCAATCCTGGGCCGAGTTACATCGCATCATGTGGCGGCTTCGCTGCGTCGACATTGGACGGATAGGGAAGCCGAAGCCGCTCTGTGGCTTGACCATTGACATCGACCGGCCAAACTCATAGGGATTTTGTTCCTTTTTCCTTCTCTCCATGTCTCGGTGAGCACTTGACGACGCGAAATGAAGTCAGGATCCCAGCATGATCCCGTCAGGACGTCCAAGTCCTTGAATGTGTTGTCTCTGGGCAGAAGACACTAACGCTAGTTAGGCCCAGGAGAAACGACGCATGGAAAGCAAGGCACAGCGAGCATTGTCTGCAGTAGTCTCAGGCGCCGTCGATTTCCAATTGCGTATCCAGCCACTCTTCCAGCCGACGCTCCCACGTCTCCGTAATGCCTCCCGAAGACACTAGCCTCTGGAAGGAATGGGCAACCACTGTTGACTGTGATTGTTGGGTGGGTGGGGGAAGAGCACCCCTCCCGCCACCGTCGCATTGGAGATTTGCCCCGTCACCAAGATCAACGGCGCCGAACGGAAGCATGAAACAGACGAAGGCTAATGGAAATTGGCACTACGAACGGTTACTGGCCACCGTCTCCGCCCCTTGGCGTGCTTGACGGCGGATGTCACAACACATGGTTCTGCCTGATTTTCGACGCTACTCCACACGAGCTTGGCACTTAGCGGGTGGCTGAGAGCATTGATGGTGTGCTGAAACCAACGACACGCGCTACGTCAGTCAACCGAGTTGATTCGCGGTCGTGTCGGGGCTTGGGATCATTGGCATTTCCAGACCTCGCAGCCGTGTGAGCATTGTATGTTGCAAGGATGTCACCAAAGACTGCCACATTAGGGCATGTGATTGATTCTTGTCAGGTATCGTTTGTTCAGGAGAAAAAAAAATTGCTTAGAATGCTTTGGCTAACGTCGAACAAGATACCCATAAAACTTCCCGAAACAGCGTCCGTATCTCATGTCGATGATGCACAAATCTTTCATAATACACGCGGCAGATGGATCCCAGTAACCCATCCGTCCACCAACTCCTCAAACCCTTGCCGGTCTTACCGTTTCTTTTTACGGTTAGGCGGTTAAAACGGGTGACAAAAAAAAACCCGCACATTCCAACACACTGGATCGAAAAGCATTTCGCCCACTGTCAAACCCAAGACTCCGTGAAGTAAAGCAATTCGACGATTTGCTTGTCGTTTTAAGATTGGTCCCTGTGGAAAACGTCTCTCAGTTCCTGATTAAAAGACGAGGTAAAGCCCATTAGCCCATCTTGAACTTGGCTACAAGCTACTAACTAGCCCGTGCTTGCCTGCGAGTAAGAAGCGAGGACGGAATGGAGCTCTAACTAGCGCAGACAAGAGGGCCGTAGCTGGTGGGGGAGAGGTAGAAACAGAGAGAGCAAGTGGTACTTACAAGAGAGCCAGCTCAAGATCACCGTGGATGCGTGCCTTCAGCGTGATTTCAATGTCGAGGTTGAGATCGAGGCGCAACCGAAGCGTATCGCTCTTGTCGCCTCCACCTCCACCTTGCTGTTGCAGCGCACCGCCAGCAACGTTGCCTAGTGTGTTCTGTACACCGTTGGCTACGTTGCCGACATCACCGACACCACCAATCTGGTCGAGGGGGCCGCTTTGCTGTTGCTGGCGTCTTTGCATCTGTCTGCGCTGCGGACGCTGACGGCGCTGGGGCTTCTGCTGCTGCTCGCTGGGTGCTTCCGAGGTCTCGTCTTCGGAGGCGTACTTGGTGTTATTCTTCTCGCGGGGGGAGGCCATTGTGACGGATTGAGAGCAGTGAACTGGAGTTCAAAGACGGGCTGGCGATATTTTTTTATGGGAAGGAGCGAGGAACTGATATTAAGGACTTTGGGTCTACCGGAAAGTTTGGTGTGTCGCTCTCAAGGTCAGACTCTCCTCAACGGCTCTGGATGAGGACGCAACATATAAGTGATTCCGGACAGTATCCAGAAGGGGTCAAAACAGGATGTAAAAGCTTACACCCCTTCCAGCTGATGAGATCATGTTGGACCCTGGGGGATCCAGGATTCCCATCTTTCACTGCTTTCACCCCTTCCGCATTTGCGTCACACCACTCGACTGTCTCGATGTTCTGGACCGAAATGACGTTGAAGGGGGCCAAGCGGCATGCGTGCGGTTGGAGGAGGGGGGGCGGATTCACTGGGGCTGCTGGGGCACTGGTCTTGTCTCATACTCGATGCGTCCCCGATCTGCCTGTGCCGTCGAGGAGGAAGCGCGGCCAATCCAACACATCCCGGGCTCCCAAAAACAACAAAGGTCAAGATGGTGTCTGGCATCCCTGTTCTTTTGGATTCAACACGCACCTTCGCGTCCAATCACGCATTATCAGACTCGCACCACGGACTTTCGATCACAGGTGCCGCCAATGCAGGCATGACGCAGCATTACTCTATTCCTGCAACTAAACAAGCTTCTTGTACGAATAGGTTGGTTTGAGCTTGCAAGCTTACTGAATGCTATGCACTGACGATGTACGGGCTCACGGGTTACAGATGCCAACCATTCTATCCTTGCAAGCTGCCGAACGCCTCGGGACTTGTTCTTTTTGCACGTCTCTCCCCTAAGCTCCGAAATTATGGAAACCCCCCGGATTATTCCAAAATCAACGCTCCATTTTCCTGTCAAGATGCTATGGCTCGCCTATCCTTTCACGTAAGCGCTTTCAATGCCCAGCGCCATTTGCCGCTTGAGAGCGATTTCCATACAGTCTTCGGGATCATAACCCTCCCGCAACCGCCCATCGGGATCCCAATATGCAGCCCACCTGCCGTCTTCCTCCAGTACGGCTACGAAGCCGAGCCCGCTGCCCCGCAATGAGAGGAATCTCTCGTCGTCAGTCCAACCCCAAGGCCCTATGACATGGCCAAGGGTATCTTTGCGGCCCCCATGGCGGAGTGCTCTGCTGTCGGCATCGACATATATCCAGTTCAACATGGGCGGGTCTTCCGCTATTGTCGACACCAGAGCTCGCATTGGTGGCTCGCTGGGGTAATTAAAATAATACCCCGAAAATTTGTGCCCTGGTGCTGGTGCCAGGCTATGACTTATCCATATCTGCGGTTACGCGTGTGTTAGTTGGTCCAACGGAGATGTGTCGCAAGGTTTCAAGTTGGCGAGCGAGCTAGTGTAAGTCCAAAAAAAAAAACGCGGCGAGGTTGTTCAAGTGGGTGTGCCAACCTCCGCAAACGGAAACGGGGAAAAGAGAAAAGCAAGGAAAAGGACGGCGTGCAGATAGATGTATGCAGACATTTGCAGGCCGGGAGGGGGGAACGGGGTCTGTCGATGGTCGATCGAGAGGAAAGGGGAGGGGGGAAGGCGTGAGATGTTGGTTTGCTTACCTTGTTATCAACGACGATACAAGGACACTCTTCCTGCTTCCCGTCGATGGTCATAGTCGCCGTGAGGCTGAACTTGGCTTGTTCTTTGGCGGCGGCATTCTGCTTCTTCTGGGCGCTCACGGCCTGGCCGGTGCCGATGACTGTGGGTATGGCGGCGATGGCGAGCAGACCGATGACCATGTTTCAAACTCTTTGAGCGCGAACAGCTACTACACAGGGGTAAAAGGTAGGTGGGATAAAGAGACGAAAACGAGGGCGGTGGGAGAAGTTGGCTTTTCGAATGAGAGTGGGCACTGGGACGACGAGCTCAAGTGAGCCGGGTCGAGTCGAGCCTCGAGTCGAGCCTCGAGTCGAGTCAAAGTTCCTAAGCCTCGCCGCTGCTGGTCGAGGTTTGTCGTGTCGGGACTCGGAAATGTCAGTGGTCCAAGCCGCGGGGTCAAGCCGCGTGTGTGGATTAACGGGATTTGCAATGATCGTTGGGATGTTGCAACGTGCTCGGGGCCGAGTTACCCTCTTGCTCTGGGCTCTGGAGATCAGTATGTCACTGTCTCGAAGGGTTTCAAGTTCTTCTTTGATGGATTTTCAGGAGAAACAGGTTTACGGGGTTCGTTCCATAGGGTTCGTATGGTCATGATATCGAATGCCCCCCCCCCCCCCCCCCCCCCCCCCCCCCCCCCCCCCCCCCCCCCCCGTCCATCGGCTTTACCCAAAGGTAACGGTTACTTTTGCTCTCTTCCTCACTCGAAGCACCCTGCAGCTTGCGCCGGCTGTATCTCCCCTCCAGTGCCCACTCCCATGGGCTGTGTGTTTTCTCGCCG